ATCTACTCTGCATGACCAGTAGCACTGCCCTGTGGCACTGTCCTCCCGCTGTTCATCGATTTGCTCGAGCGGGCACCAGTAATGTCTCCATTGTGAGACTTGTTGTTACTGTGTTTGGCATATCGAATACGCCACAGGGAGCTTGCCAGGCTCTGCTGTGTGGGCAGGATACTCTCGGTAGCTTGCTGGGCTCTCCGAGAGGGACAGAGAAATTGAACCCGGGTTGGCCGTGTGCAAAGCAAACACCCTACCCACTGTGCTATCGCTCCAGCCCCTGCATGACCAGTAGCACTGCACTGTCTTCCCGTTGTTCATCGATTTGCTCGAGCAGGCACCAGTAACGTCCATTGTGAGACTTCTTGCTACTATTTTTGGCATGTCGAATACGCCACTGGGAGCTTGCCAGGAATTTGTGACAAGGTGCTGGAAGGATTTAAGTGAACCATTCTCTATCTACAATAGTAACGGAGAACCCAACTTTGAGTAGAACTTCAGAGATGAAGGAATTATTAAAAAACTGTTGTTATTCCGATGACTTTCCCCTTCTCTTTGTTGCAGTGAGTAGGCATTGCACAAGTTTGGTTGTATATTCACTGAGAATCATGTGCTTCAGTTCTTTGTTTGTTTGGGGGCCATACCCGGTGGTGCGCAGGGATTACTCGTAGCTCAGTGCTCAGGGGACCATATGGGGTGCTGGGGACAGAAACCTGGTCGTCAATCATGTACCGGGCAAGTGCCTTACCCGTTGCACTATCTCTTCATCATTTTGTTGGAATGTTTTTAAAAAGCTTTTTTCATTTGTTTGGTTTAGGTTTGGGTTTTTGGGCCACACCCTACAATGCCCAGGGGTTGGTTACTCCTGGCTCTGCACTCAGGGATCATTCCTGCAGGTGCTGTGGGGAGCATATGGGATGCCAAGGATTGAACCCAGTTTGGCCACGTTCAAGGCAAATGCCCCACCTGCTACACTATTGCTCTGGCTCCCTACAAAACATTTTTTTTTTTGGTTTACATCATAAAGATTTATTTTTTCTTTGCAGGTGCAGGGGGTGGAGGGTGCCTTCTAAGCAGTGCTTAGTGGGGAATCACGGCCACTCACAGCAATATTCAGTTCACCAGACTGGCCCATTCAACACTTGGACCCAGTGGTATGTTGTACTCAGGTCCAGAGATAACACGGGCCACTAGGCTCACCCCAGTGCTGCTCAGGGATTACCAGGGCTACACCCAGTAATACTTGGGGGAACAATGCAGCGCTGAGGATGGAACTCAGGTCCCTGTGTATACAAGGCATGATCCTTCCCTGCCCTCTTCCCCCTGTCCCACTCTGCCCCATCTCCCTGACCCTAAGTCATAGAGATTTTTTTTCTTTTTTGCTTTTTGGGTCACACCCTTCAATGCACAGGGACTACTCCTGACCTGCACTCAGGAATTACTCCTGGTGGTGCTCAGGGGACCATATGGGAAGCTGGGAATGAACTCGGGTTGGCCGCGTGCAAGGCAAATGCCCTATCCACTATGCTATCGCTCGAGCCCCATAAAGATTTTTTAAGTAGTTTGTGTAGCACTGTAGTGGGCAAATAGTCAAATTTTTTTTTTAGACCTTTAGAAACACAAAAAAGCAGCAAGTAGTCCCTTACTGGTCTGTTTCGGGAGCCAGATCTGGGAACCATTGCCTCAGAAGTCATTTTGCTTTCTCAGGCAGTTGGTAATCTAAACATTTCTCAGATTCCTGCTCTCTAGAGTCTTGACTGAGGCCATGAGCTATTTTTCTCAAGTTTTGGTCATTTAAGATGAAGGTTTTCCTTGGTGCTACATTTGCTCATTCATAACTCTGAACCTTCACACACTGCTCCTTCCCTTTCCTCTCTGTTGCTTTTTCTGACATTCTATCCCAAACTCCCCTCTATCAAGTAAAAATCAAATCTGACTTCCCTGCCTTCTAACTCCTAATTCATTTCTCTTGGTTTACAACCGCATTTATCTGCACGTCCTGTTACTTTATGTTCATTGCCTCTTTTTGTGTATGTGCCATCGCCCTGATGTTATAAACACTGAGAACATAACACCTTTTTCTTTATTATTATTATTTCAAGTGCTGAAATCTGGCATGGTTCAAGATGGGCACCTAATTAAATGAGGAAATGCTGAATGTCATAATAAATATCAGGAAGAACCATTTTGAGATTCTTGGTGATCATTTCCTATGCTACTAATTACAAAGGGGAAATGTGTCTCTTTATGCAGCAGTCTGCATGCAACTACTGCCTCAACCAAGCAATCAAACTCGGCATAATGAACAGTGAGACCGTCTGACCCGACTCAGCACAAGTGATGGATGTCAACTACACAATGCCATCTATTATGTATTCTTCACAAAAATGTTTAACCCAAATCTAACAAAACCTACGAACCTATGTCCGTCCAGTTTAGAGGAAATGGAGCCTTACAGAAATTCCAACTTTCTACAAAGATGTCAATGTTGTGGATATCTGCATTAATACAGTAACCACTATCTCCCCATCCTTCTGGGCCAATTTATAGTAAGTTACAGGTATGAGATTTCATTCTCTAAATACTTAAATAAATGGGGTCACAGAGATAAGTCAATGGGATGAATACCTGTATTGCATATGAAAGACCCAAGTTTGATCCCTGACACTGTATGGTCCCCCTAGCCCTACCAAAGGTCACCCTCAAGCAGAGCTGGGAGTAGTCCCTAAACACTGCTGAGTGTAGTAATAATAAATCAATGGCCTGGAGAGCTGGAAAGATGCCTCCAATGGCTAAACAGAGTCTGATCTCCATTATCCCGTGGCTCCCCAATTCTTGGCCTGGTGGCTCCTGCTGGGCGTGAGCACAGAGCCAAAAGCCCTGGGAACATTCCTGAGAGTGACCCCTGGACCTCTGAGCCCTGCTCGGGAAGCCAACCCCTACAAAAGATGAATCTGGGTCACACTTCAGTCCTACATACAAACATTAATTCAAATGTAATAAAGATCGGAAGCCAGAGCTGGAGATAGTACAAGGGTTAAGGTACTTGTCTTACATGCAGCTGAGCCTGGTCTGACTAGCCCCTGAGCACATGATTCCCCAAGCCCCATCAGGCATGATTCTAGAGTACAGAGCCAGGAGTAAGCCCTGAGCACAGCTGTCTATGGACTCCCTGTCGCTAACTCTTTCCCCACCGCAAAAAAAAAAAACAACCCTGGGTTCAATCCCCAATGTTGAAAACTGTCCACTGTCCTCCCGTTGTTCATCAATTTGCTCGAGCGGACTCCAGTAACATCTCACAACAAATCGTGTGACTTGTTACTGTTTTTGGCATATCAAATACAGCACGGGGAGCTTGCCAGGCTTTGCTGTGTGGGCAACATACTCTCAGTAGCTTGCCAGGCTCTCCAAGAGGGGTGGAGGAATCGAACCCTGGTCAGCCACGTGCTAGGCAAACACCCTACCCACTGTGCTATCACTCCAGCCCAATGTTGAAAACATTACATAAAAATAATTTTTAACAAATTCATGGTTCAGGGGCCACAGAGTTTATACAGCAGATAAGGCATTTGCAAGCGACCAATCAGAGTTCGATCCAAGGCATCCCATATGGTTCTCTGATTCTGAGCACCTCCTAGAGCAATTTATGAGTGGAGAGCCAGGAATGAGCATTGCTGGGTGTGAACCAAAACCCATAAATAAGTAAATAAATGGTTCAGGGGCTGGAGAGGTAGTACAGTAGGTAGGGTACTTGCATTGTACAAGGCACTCCTGGGTTTCACCCCTGGCACCCCATATGGTTCTCCAAGTCCATCAGGAGTGATCCCTGAGTGCAGAGCCAGGAGTAACCCCTGAACGCAGAGCCAGGAATAATCCGTGAGTGCAGAGACAGAAGTAACTCCTGAGCACTGCCAGATATATCCCCCCTTTCAAAAAAAAAGTTTTTATTACTGCATCTATAACAGATGGGAGAAGTAAGAAGAGAGAAAAAAGCAAAATTATACTAATCGTTCAATCTAAGGTTAAAAGCACACTGGGGCTTGTGGTGCCATTAACTTTTCCGTAAGTTTGGAAAACTTTCCCCAGAACATTTGTAGATTAAAAAAAAAAAACTATAAAATTAAGCAGTATTGCTGAGTATTTCCATAAACAAACACTATTCATTATTTGTTCATTTTGTGTGGGCCAATGCTAATTTTCCCTAGAAATTAATCTGAGGCCATCATTATTTCATCTCAGCAGAAGAAAGCTTAAAGTTCGCCTTCTTGGAAGGAAGCTGAGCAGCAGAACAAGTCCCTCTAAATAAGAGTGGCGGTGCTGTGCTTCCAGGCCCTCACTGAGTCCCCCACTGACACCCGCCAGGGCCCTGCCTCCTTCTGAACTGAGTACACAGTAGAGCTCGGCTCCTCTGTTCCATCCCCTCCCACCCACTGCTTTCACAGAAAAGCACTGGAAAGCCACACCAGGGGCAACCAGGAGTCCAAGTGGCTTGTGTTGGTCCTGAAATAGAGCTGGGTGCCAAGCTCCATTGTCATAACTGCACAACTGACAGCACCGTGGCACAATAGCTGTTTGTGCCCTTACCCTCTATCTCTCATCCGGGGAGGACTTTTTCCAAAGCAAGTCCAGACTGCATCCACTTCTGCTCTCTATGATGCCTCTGAGTTCCCCTGTATGCAGTCAGCTCTTCTACCGACCCCAACTGCTGGCACGGCATGAGCATTACCGCTCTGTCTCTGCAACCACATAATCCTCCTCCTTACCCACAGAGCTTCCCATGTTCTTTCTCCATCACCAGTGAAAGGAAAACGACAAGGGCTGAAGCAATAGTACAGCAGGCAGGCTGCTTGCCTTTCATGTGACTAACCCAGGTTCGATCCCTGGCATTCCATATGGTCCCCCGAGACCCACCAGAAGGGATCCCTGTGTGCAGAGCCAGGGATAAGCTCTGAGCACCACTGGGTGTGGTCCAAAATAAAAAAAAACTAAAATCATAAGACATAACATAATTTTATTCTTTATTCGAGAAATAATCGAGTATGACAGGGGCGACCACTGACAATTTGTTCCATATAAAACTACATCATCTAGCTGTATTCTCCAGAAGAGAGAAAGCAAATTTTAGTCACTGTGAAAACTGAAGAAAATCAAGAATGCTTCATACAAGGCAGCCCACACTTCCTCCAGTGAAGGTGGCCTCAGACAGAGATGGTCCCGTTACCAGAAGAGGAGGAGACATCTCCCCCCGCTGCTTCATGCTCAGCGGCAGGCCTTGTTGAACTCCTGGAGCACCCAGTGCCTGTTCTCAGTTGTCTGCTTGAGTTGTGTGTACTCTTTTACCAGCCTGTCAAACTCCTCCCCAAGGACCTCATAGGTGTCCAGGACCTGTCGGGACTTCTCCATTTCCTGCTCTTGTAGGCAAATGGCCCCCTCCAAACGGTCCCTAAAAGCCCAGGCACAGAAGGTGCACCATGAGGATCTGACTTCTCCCCAAGCAGAGAAGAGAAGCATGCTAAACTGAGCCAGTCAGGGGGGTGGAGCAATAGTACAACGGGAAGGGCACCTACGTTGCATGTGAGCACCTCAGGTTTGATCCCTGGCACCCAATATGGTCCCCCAAGCTCACCAGGAGTGATCCCTGAGTGCAGAGCTAGAAGTAAGCCCTGAGCACCATGGGTGTGCCTCCCCCACCATCCCCCACCCCCCCAAAAAAGGGCGAGTCTGCAGAGCATGGGAACTGGCTTGAAATAATGCCAGGCTTTACAATTCTCACCTAATGAGACGATGAACTTCCACTTTCTCAGCAGTGTAAGTGTCAGACAAAATCTTTAGCATTTCCATCCTGACAGAGGGAAGAAGGAAATGTCAAGCTGAGAATCTCCATAGCAGCAGAGTTAGTATTGGGGCACTGTGCTTGCACACATCAGGCTGGACACTACTTTAGGGAGAAGAAACATGATCATGCTGACCCTTAAACAGTCGATATTTCAGGAGGCTCGGAATGAAATATCCAGGAAAGGAAAGTTAGCTCAAGTGGTAGAAAGCATGTCTAGCAGGTTCAATCCCCAGCACAATGTCCCCACCCCCACCTCCAAGCATGGCCAGATGTGACCCTGGTAACTGCCAAGCACCTCTGGGGGTGGACTCTATAAAAATAAATAGGGACAAGACATAGCTCCACAGCTGAATGCATGTTTTGCATACAGGAGGCCCCGGTTTGATCCTGGGCACCACATGGTCACCCAAACACTGCCAGGAGCAACCCTAAAGCACCAAGCAGGGAGTAGCTCCCAAGCACCACTTGATGTGCCTCCAAATCATTTAAGTAAATATTGACTGGGATGGAGCTCAACACTACAGCACGTGCCTTGCATGTGTAAGGCCCTAGATCTGATCCTCAGGATCATAAAAACATTTGGGGGGGAAAAAAAGGTAAAATAAAAGATCCTGAAAGCTTTTTGATAATCCAAAGGCCATACTGCTACATGACCTTTACTGAACACCCGTAAGGACCTGGCAGAATGTAGAGAAAGAATGTGGGAAGGGGGTTCCAGGGCTAGAATGTGGCACATAGCTCCGAGGGCTCGAATACACTTGGGGGTCGGTCCCCTGCACAGCATTGCCCCAGTGCACTGCCACATGAGGCTCTCAAACCAAATCACACCCCTATCAAATGATAAGGGGGGAGTCTGCGGAAGGGGGTTAGACAGCACGTGAGACATGAGATCGCATCCCTTGGGTCCATAAGTCAGAGCTCACCTCAGCTTGAGGACCATGGCACTGCACTTGATCTCCAGGTACTGGGCGTTGATGCGATCTAGCTCAGACTGCGCCTGCAGCCGGTGCTCCTGAAGCAGCCTCTGCAGCAAGGCCAGGCAGCGGAGCAGCACCTGAAGCAGCCCCCAGCAGAGAAGAGCACAGGCAGACGGGGTGAACAAAGACACAGAGGGCAGGGCAGATCCAAGACCCAGGCCCTCCCAAGGTGCCCCGGGCTGGCACACCTGTGAGTAGGCAGCACTTCTCTTATCCAGCAGCACCAGCTGCTCCTGCTGCTGGTTCCGGCTGTCCTCGTACTGCTGCTTCTCACCTGCCAGGACCTCGGCCAGCTTCCACACCTTGGCTGCCTTCAGCGTCTCACTGTCTGAATCTGGGCAAAGACACAGAACACTGGACTGAAAAGCCCAGTCACCCCAGCCCTGCTGAAATCCCGTCAGTGCCCCTAGCCAGCATGGAGGTTAGGGGATTCTGTCTTTTGCCAGGTTGCCTGCTATGACAGCTTGTTGAAGATGTCCCAATTCTCATAACGAAGTTCTCGTCACTTTATTTATTTATTTTTTTTTTGCTTTTGGGTCACACTCCGTGATGCACAGGGGTTACTCCTGGCTTTGCACTCAGGAATTATGCCTGGTAGTGCTCGGGGGATCATATGGGATGCCAGGAATCAAAGCCGGGTCGGCTGCGTGCAAGGCAAATGCCCTACCCTCTGCACTATCACCCCAGCCCCTGTTCTCTTCACTCTTACCTTGAATTCCATTTTGTTCTTTAATGTGTTTTTAAATTATATTATTTTATTTTATTTTTTAATCTATTTTATTTTTGGTTTTTGGGTCACACCCGGCGATGCACAGGGGTTACTCCTGGCTCTGCACTCAGGAGTTACTCCTGGCGATGCTCGGGGGACCATATGGGATGCTGGGAATCGAACCCGGGTGGGCCGCGTGCAAGGCAAATGCTCTACCCACTGTGCTATCTCTCCAGCACCTATATTATTATTTTAAATGAAGCAAGATTTTTTTTTTCTTTTTGGGTCACACCTGGTGATGCTCAGGGGTTATTCCTGGCTCTGCACTCAGGAATTACTCCTGGCAGTGCTTGAGGGACCATCTGGGATGCCAGGGATCAAACCTGGTGGGTCGAGTGCAAGACAAGCACCCTACCAGCTGAACTATCGCTCTGGTCACCAAAGCAAGAGAGTTTTATTGAAGGAAACTTGCTTAGAAAGATGTGAGAGCAGGGGGCCGGAGAGACAGCACAGCAGGTAAAGTACTTGCCTTGCACCTGGCCAACCCGGGCTGGAACTCCCAGCATCCCATATATGGTCCCCTGAGCACCACCAGGAGTGAGTGACTCCTGGGTGCAGAGCCATGAGAAACCCCTGAACATCACTGGATGCAGCCCAAAAACAAACAAACAAAAAAAAGTGAGAGGAGATAAACAGAAGGAATGCATGTTCACAAGAGAGCACAGGCTTCTCCAGAGTGGAAAAAAACAAGCAAAGAGACATAGAGACAAACAGGCAAGATACGTGTTTAAGGAAGAACACAGGCTTGAAGAGCCAGTCTGGTCCTTCATTATTAAATCACAGGAATAAAGATAAGTAGGATTCTATTAGCCTAAACTCTTTACTATTCCATCTGATTCTCCTGAGACAATCTTATCCTTCCCTGCAGCCACGGGACAATCCCACCTGGCACCCTGCTGATTAAAGCATCCTGACGAAATTCACTGCTTTTATTCTGCCAGCAAGGAAACAAACAAGCATGGAGCATCACATCACCCAGGCTCTCCAGCTTTGGTTCCAAATCTAAAAATTCAAATTCACTGGGGCTGGAATGATAGTACAGCAGGTAGGGCACTTACCTTGCATGTGGCCAACCCAGGTTGAATCCCTGCCACCCCATATGGTCCCCCAAGCAATGCCAGGAGTAATTCCTGAGTGCAGAGGCAGGAATAAATCCTAAACACAGCAGGGTGTGGCCCAAAAACAAAAAAATAAATAAAATAAAATTCAAAGTAATTTTTCTCAGAAGAGCAGGCCAGGCACCGAGTAGGTCAGCTGCAAGTAACAGAACCCGGAGAGCTGCCCTCACCTGCACTAGGGTTGTGGTAGCAGAGCAAAGTGAAGCATTTCTTCTTGAGCTGTTCCTCCACTTCGAGCAGAAGCTGAGCTCTCATCCACGCAAAATTCTACAGCCGCAGCCAAGAGAGATACAAACGGACCTTTAGAACAGGAAGATCCAGGGCCAAGAGATGGTTCAGGGGTTAAGGCGCTAGCCTTGTGCGTGCTGATCCTGATTTAATCCCCAGCACTGCCTGTGGTTCTCCAAACCCTACCAGGTGTGAGCAAAGAGCCCAAAGATGCCCCCTAAACACCACTGGTTGTGGCCAAAATGTCCCTCTTCCCTGAATAAAGAACCAGAAGATACAGTTAATGAACGCATGGCGACCACAATTTCAGTGATAGCCAAAGAAAATGCATCCAGAGGCCAGAGCAATGGTACACTGGATAGGGCATTTGCCTTGCACACAGCCGACTGGATTCAATTCCACATCCCATTTGGCCCCCGAGCACCTCCAGGAATGATTCTTGAGTGCAGAGTCAGGAATACCCTCTAAGCATCACCAGGAGTGACCCAAAAAGAAAAAAAAAAATTGGAACCAATTATAGAAGAGCAAAGATGGACATAATATTATACTACTACCTGTGAGTATTACTTCTCTCATTTTGGGTTTCGGGGCCATACCTGGCAGTACTCAGGGGTGACTCCTCGTTCATTGCTTAGGGGGCAAAGAGGAACTGATGGGAAAGGGTGACAGAGTCCCGGCCTTCTACATGCAAAGAATACACAACAGTCCTTTTGAACTGTCTCTCCAGCTCCTCAGTATAGTTTGTAACAGTAAAAATGTGGAAATAAGCTTAGTATCAATAAGGGTAAGCGAATCACACTATGTCCATATAAACAGAATCCTAGTGGTGATTTAAACCGAGATGTTTCAACACTGAGTGCTTCAGGAGAAAACATCTAATTTTAGGTTTACTGACTTAAAAAGAAGTCCAAAGTGTATTAGGCAAAAATACATCATCCTTTCTATGCAGTATGAGGGTGTGTACCATTATTCCAAGCTGGATATGGTAATATGTCTATGTAGTAAATTTGAGTAAACACAATGAATGCATATCATTTTTACAAAAGCAAAAAAGCTTTTTTTTTGGGGGGGGGGGAGTGGTGTGGGGAATGAGGCAGGAACAGGGGTGGTTTTAGGCCAACTGTGCTCAGGGGATCATCTGTGGTGCCAGGGACTGAACCCTGGTCAGCTGAGGGCAAGGCAAACAAAAGCAATAAAGCTCAACCGAAAAAGCCTCGATACATGGACAGATTCATCTACACACATTAACACATGCACACACACAGGCGGGCCCCACCTCGGAGGGGGGCATGAGCTCCAGCAGGTCTGCTCTCTGTAGTCCGAGCAGGGGGGGCGTCTCCTTCTCCTGACTCGGACCTAGGAGTTGGGTCAGTTCCGTTACAAGCAGCCTCTGTTCAAGCACTTCATGAAACTGAGACAGAATGGAAAATCACAGAGGTCACCACAACTCCTCACACTCCGTTCTTCACACATTCACGGTGTCCTCACCCGTGTCAACCCTCAGCAGCTGGTGCTCTCTCCCGGCGAGTCTCCCAAACCCTGGCAACCCACCACCACTTTTCCCGACGACAGTTCTCCTGGGCTGGGACGACCATAAGCATAACTGAAGCGCCCATTCCCCTGGATCAGAAAACCAGAGCTGGTTTTCCTGACGAGACCTCACCTTTCTGTCCTCAGAAGTAAAAGGTGTGTCCTGTGACTTCACATAATGGTCTATGAGCAGCTCTTGAACGACTCTCTGTAAAATCTCAGACCGCAGCCAGGCTGTCTTATGCAGTCGAAGTTCCTTCCATGCCTAGCAAACGAAACAAACCCCAGGGGAAAATTCCTTCCCACCCTCTCTCTTGCTCCCATTCTCCTGCCGGTGTCATCCCTCTGTCCAGGGCCTTACCTGAGCCTGCTCCTTGGCAAGGCTGAGGCTCAGGCCACTCTCATCCACGTGCTGTGAGAGCCCCAGCAGCAGTTTGCTGAAGTGTGGGTTCTGTAACAGGTCCTCTTCACTCAGGTTACAGGGAGGAAGCTGTTTGCTGCACACTTGAGGGCACATCCCCACAGGGACAAAAAGAGAAAAAAAGGTATGGACCCTTACTTTGCAGAACAGAGCGCTTGTTGTTTTTTTTAACCCTCACATTTCCAAAAGTACTTTTAAGTTTTTGGTTCAGATGCTTAATCTACTGGAAAATACATATCTTTAATATCTAAAAATAAACTCTATAGCTAATATTCAAAGTAATGGATATCTGTATTATAGAAGAGGCTACAGGATCTGGGATGTAGCTCAGCGGTAGAATACATGCCTTGCATATGTGGTTTGATTCCCCAGCACTACAGAAATAAATAAAAATATGTGGCTGGCTGGGCTGGAGCAATAGCACAGCAGTAGGGTGTTTGCCTTGCACTCAGCCCGCCCGGCCAAGCCGGGTTCACATTCCTCCACCCTTCTCGGAGAGCCGGGCAAGCTACCGAGAGTATCTCGCCCGCACGGCAAAGCCTGGCAAGCTCCCCGTGATGTACTCGACATGCCAGACACAGTAACAACAAGTCTCATAATGGAGATGTTACTGGGCCCGCTCGAGCAAATCGATGAGCAATGGGAGGACAGTGACAGTGATAGTGATGTGGCCAGCTAAGGGCCAAAGTGACAGTACAGTAGTTAGGGTGTCTGCCTTGCACATGGCTGACTCTGCATCCCATATAGTCTCCTGAGCACCGCCAAGAGTAATTCTTGAGTGCAGAGCCAAGAGTAACCCTGAGCACCGCTAGGATGACCCAAAAAACAAAGCAAAGCAAAACAAAACAAACCAACAAAAAGTGACTGGAGACATAGTACAGAGTATAAAGTGCTTACCTGCATGCAGTCAACCAATTTCTATCCCTGGCACTGCATATGGTTCCCTGAGCACTGCCAGGAGTGATTCCTGAGTGCAGAGCCAAGAGTAACCTCTGAGCACTGCTGGGTGTGGCCCCAAAACTAAGTAAATAAAAATTAAAAGGAAGGGGTGGACAGAGAGATAGCTCAACAGGATGACTGTATGCTTTGCATGCAGGAGGCCCAGGTCCAATTTCTGGCACCCTGATGTGACTCCAAACCCCCCTAACCTCCCCCTACACACACACACACACACACACACACACACACACACACGGGCCTATAGCATATGAGTTTGCCCAAAGCTCCCAATTCTGATCCCCAGCACTATACTACATGCGTTCCCTACCCCAACACTGCCCAGTAGAGCCCTGGTGGTCCTGACATCACTGGGTGTACTCCTAATGGCCGCCTAATGACCTTTACCTCAGATCTGATGGGCTCTACATCTGCACTGCCAGATCTGAAACCCTGCTAGAAACGCTGCCCAGAAAAAAAGAATATGGGATGAGGCTGGAGCAATAGTATAACAGGTAGAATGTTTGCTTGCATGCAGCTGACCTTGGTTCAGTTCCCAGCATCCCATATAGTCCCTGCTCACCACCAGGGGGATTCCTGAGACCACAGCCGGGAGCAAACCCTGAATACCACTGGCCCAATAAATAATGGCCCAATAAATAAACAAAAAATGGAACCCCTAATTACCACAGTATCCAGAATTCCTCCTTAGCATTATCATAAGATATGAGAGTTCCTGAAGGAAGGAGGGAAAAACATACACAAAGTGACTTCAGATGCATCCTCTAGTTGCATATGCAGAGGAGGTATACCCCTAACAGAAGAACAAAATGTTCTTATTTTGTAATCCTTATGAGCATGAGACCTGGGTTTCATCCCCAGCACTGCAAAATAAATAAATAAATAAATAAATAAATAATTTTTTTGGATGGGCCAAATTCTCCTTATCGTAAACAGAATTAAGTAAATCCATGCTGATGCAGAGAGTACATAAAAAAAGTAAAAGCAAATTGGGATTTTCTGGGCATTCCATATATTCGGGGAGCTTTCTTTTCATCTTTTTTCTATGTGCATTATTAGGCTGAGGTCTTGCTTTCATTCCTACTTACCAAACAAATAAAAATTTACATTTGTTGAGCTATAATAAAAGTCCTTTTTGTTTTGTTTGATTGAGGTCCATGCCTCAGAAGTGTTTGAGCATTACTACCCTATCTCCAGTGCCCAAAATAGTCCTTTATAGAAAAAGATACCTCTTTATTTGTCCCTAAAGCTAAAGGAGCAATATGAAATGGTCAAAATAAAGGAGATGCCTATACTTTTTTTTTCCCCACTATAATTACCGCGGGGGCCGCTCTTGGTGCATGCCAGAGACTGAATCCAGGGCCTCACATACAAGTCATGTGCTCTACCACTTGAACCAGATTCCCAGTCCTAAAAGATCAAGTTCTTGAATGATTCAAGATACAGAAAGGGTTTCTGGTATGAAAAGAGTTCAAGATAGGGAAGTATTCAAGATATGGAAGGAGTTGAGATTTTGGAGACAAGATACAGGAATCTTCAGTCGGGGGTGCTGGCGACCCTTATCTTTAGGCCTGGGAATCTCTTGACTTTTCAGTACATAGTGTACAAACAGATACCAAACAGAAGTCCGTGCAATCTATTTTTCCAATGAAAAAGTGCTTAAGACACTTCATATTCAGAGCCAGAGATATAGCACAGCAGCTAAGGTGCTTGCCTTGCATGTAGTCCGTTGATTCGATTCGGGGCACCAAATACGGTACCCTGAACACTGCCAGGAGTCACGCCTGAGCCTCCGCAAATGTATCTCCAAACCCATCCCCACCAAAAAAAGAATCTTCACATAGGGCCAGAGAGAGAATACAGAAGCGAAGGTACATGCTCTCATGCCACTGCTCAATACCCTGCAGACAATCTCCTGTGCATCGTGGAAGGTAGCCCAGGTAATCCGGGCACTCCCTGAGCAGTCCCGCAGCCAAAGGCCCTTGCATTGAAGTGCCAGTCAATTGGTCAAGAATCTCCAGAAGGGGCCATGGGCCTCCAGAACACCACTTGGGGGCTTTTCTCAAAAAAATATTAAAATTCGTTGGGTCAGAAATGTGGCTCAGCTGTAGAGCACTGCCTTGCATGTGACACCTGGTGTTTGCTCTTTAATAACACATACATGCAAACACACACACACACACACACACACACACACACTCCCCATGTGTATACAAAAATCCTTTCATCTATTCTCCAGAAAGTTTCTGTGAAAACCACACTAGTGAGCATTCTAATTTTTTGTTTTGTTTTTGTTTTTGTTTTTAAGCCACAGCTGGAGGTGCTTATGGATCATTCCTAGAGGGGCTTGGAGGACCATACAGGGTGCAGGGGCCTAAACCTGGGTTGGCCACAACCACGACCATGACCATCCTGTTATTCGTCGATTGCCTCGAGCAGGCCCCAGTAACGTCTCCTTCATCCTAGTCCTGGGATTATATTCAAGGCTCTTTAGAAGAATGAGACCCATCATTGTTACTGGGTTGGCCACATGCAAAGCAAATACCCTTCCCACTGTACTATGGTTCCAGCCCCACAGTGAGTGTTCTCAATCCTTTCTTATCATAGAAGACTAGAATCCAGATTAGATTTCATCAAATCTCTTTCTAATAGCCACCCTTACCTTGTTGAAGTATTTCCATTCCTTCCCCAGGCAGGCAGAAATCCCCAGATGCCATTTATTTTCTTGAGCCTTATCTGTGGATCAAGTGACAGAAAGCAAAAAGATGGAAAAACTTTGGGACCAGAGCAATAGTACAATGGGTAGGGCATTATTTGCCTTGCTTTTTTTTTTCTTTTCTTTGGGGGGGGGCCATACTTCTAATCTCAGGAGTTACTCCTAATGGTGCTTGGGGACCCATAGGGATGCTGGAGATAGAACTAAGGTTGGCCATATGCAAGGCAAGCACCCTAACCATTGTACAATCTCTCCAGGCCCCTTATTTGCCTTGCATGCAGCTGATCTGGGTTCGATACCTGGCACCCCATCTAGTTCCCTGAGTCTGAGTCCCACCAGGAGTAATTCTTGAGCCAGAGCCAGAAGTAAGTCCTAAGCACCACCTGGTGTGGAGTGGCCCAAAACCAAGCAATGAGCCATCCAGTTCATCTGGCCAAGATTGAGGAAAGGATCCCCAGGCCCTCTGAACACTACTTAGGAAACCTCCCTCTTCCCCTAAGTAAAAGTATTTCTGTTGTCTACAAGTTGGGGACAAACCTCAGGCATTATTCTCCCTACAGGAAGGAAATATGTCACACATCCTGGGTTGGGAAAGATCTTTGTTTGTTTATGGGCTACACCCTGGATCTGTGCTCTGGGATCACACCTGGAGGGCTCAGGGGACCATATGGGGTGCCAGGGATTGAATCTAGGTTGGCCATGTTCAAGGTAAGCATCCTCCCCACTGTACTATCTCTTCTGCCCACCTAGATCTTCATACAAGTATTATGGGTTGACTTACTAGTAGTGGCAAAACACTTTGCATTCCAAGCATATAAATGTTTTTACTTGTTCCAAGATATCTAAAATGAAGCTGCCTATGGGGGTGGGGGACCCAAAATGTTACAAGTGACTAATCTAAACAGAACACTGCTTCCCACCCCCTACCCCCTTCCTCCCATGCATAAACTAAATTAAAACTAAGCTGTTGCTTCACAGTTATGAATGAACTGGGGAAAGGGGGTAGAATCAAAATCAGCCCCCATCCCCCAAAAGTGCAACTATCAAATTCCACAATTGTTTCTTGTGTTTAAGTTGTCCTTTCATCTTAAATCTGTTGGTAGTTTTTTTTTTCTTTTTGGGTCACACCCAGCGATGCTCAGGGGTTACTCCTGGCTTTGCACTCAGGAATTACTCCTGGCAGTGCTCAGGGGACCATATGGGATGCTGGGAATCGAACCCGGGTTAGCCGCGTGCAAGGCAAACACCCTACCCACTGTGCTATCACTCCAGCCCCTGTTGGTAGTTTTTGATCATTAATTTTAGAACCATCCCTCAGGAGTAACAAATCATTCCACACTTCAACAATGACTGGTTTTCACCTAACAGCATTTGTCAAGAGCACCTGGCAGAAAGAGCACCAGAGGTTAGCGACCAAAGAGTAACCTAACGGAGTAGTTAAAACTGCCGAGGTGGGTCTGGAGCTATAGTACAGAGGGTAGGGTGTTTGTCTAGCACGCTGCTGACCCGGGTTCAATTCCTAGCATCCCATATGATCCCCTGAACACCGCCAGGAGTAATTCCTGAGTGTAAAGCCAGGAGTAATCCCTATGCATCTCCGGATGTGACCTAAAAAAGGTAAAGAAAAATTAAATAAAACCGCTGAGGTCCCGGCTGGAGCTGTCTGGGTTTTCTGCCAGAACAGCGCGCAGTGTAGAGCACAAAATGACATCAACACCAAGGGGCAGTAAAAAACGGGCCCAGCTCAGACTCCAGAGACAAAAATTCTCCCTTGATATCATTTTCCCTATATTGCGGCACCCTTTCCTCTCCTGAGGTCTATCAAAGGGCAGCTGAGCCTCCAGGAGCAGAGCAGACAAGGAAGGTTATTATGATTTAACAATTCATGTTCACAGAACATTTGGTTCACTCCTCCGTTTGATGAGTAACATCAAAGTAACTACTCATTTGTTTTGTAACACGGTCTAGAGGGGACGCACCGGAGGAGTCAGAACCACGGGACTCAATTTGCTGATCATCTCGGGCCTTGGGTGTGAATTTCAGGGACTTGCTATTTGGGTGCCAAACCTTTTTTGCCACCTGCAAAACTGAGATAAGGATTCTTGCCTTGGACGAGGCATTAAGAATTAATAGCACAATCGACATGTCAACACAAGGCACCCTTTAGGGGAGCTCGGTGTTTTTCAACAGTTCGCTTTATCACGGATCTAAGCGTGCAAGTGAGTTTGGCAGGTAAATTTCGCAGAAGGAAATGAGGACCGACCCACGTCTCAGAAAAAAAGTCACTCTCCAGGCGAACTGCTCCGTTAGGTTTTTGAAAGGTGCCGTGTGCGTTTTTCTTTTTTTTTTTTTAATCTTTTTTTTTACCCTTTTTAAATGTGTGAGCCGGGTGGCAATCCAGCTGCACTCTGCCCCCTCCGCACTCAGACGTGTTAAAACGCGGCTACGCGGGACCCAACCATTTAAACGTTCTGACTCAGGCGTCTTTTAAATTCCTCAGAGCTGTCTTTACACGCTGCGCCGAACGTTAAATTGATTTTACAGGTATTTTCACAAGATGTGACCCTGACAGGGCCCGAGATGAATCAAAATGCGGAGCGGGCTCCCGGCGCCGCCGCCTTTCCTCCCCTACGTCTCGGCGGCCAAGGATCCCCCAAGGGCGAGGGCGGCCGCCCGGCCCCCGCCCGCGCGCCTCCCCCGCGCCGCGCCGCCCGCCCGCCGCCCCCTCGGAAGCAAACCTGCACACACACAACACGCGCGCGCACGGCGGCCCGGCAGCGTCTACACCCGGGGCCCCGTCGCGCCCGCGCTCCGGAACGTCTCACCCGGCCCGCCGCAGGGGGCGGGGGGAAATAGAGGCGGCAGGACCGCGCGGGAAGGTCCGGATGGGGCGCAGGGTCGCACACCCGGGCGGCGCGCGGGAAGGGGCGTGGCCATGTGGGGCGTGGTCTCGGCGGGGCGGGGCCTTGGTGGGCGTGGTGTGTCCTGGGGCGTGGTCTCCCTCGAGGCGGGAACGCGGGCCCCGCCCCTCACCGGCGGCGCGCGTACCGGGAGATTCCCGAAGGCCCGCGAGTCGGAGATTCTGAGTCCCCCCTCCCCCGGCTCGGGGGAGTCTTTGCCCCGCCTCCGGGGGCTGGAATATGGCAAACGTTGGGAGAATGGAAATAATTTCCGATTTTTTTAATGGAGGGCCGCTGATGAGGCAGGCACCGTACCGAAAGTTTTTATTTGCCGAAGTCACTGTCCTACCCATTGTTGCACAGCGCGGGAAAACTGGAGCGCAGAGGCGAGAAGTGGCTCCCAGGTGTAAAACCTGCGGACGCAGTGGCCGTCTGCGCTCCCCCGCCCAGCCTGCCTGCTCCGCCCGGGTGGTCCCGCCGCGCCCTCTGGGCTCCTCTGACCCCAGGCTGCGCTGCCCCCCTGCAGCCTCACCCCTGTTTTCTTGTCTGCGCTGCCGGTCTGGAGCTAGAGCTCAGGACGACACAGTGGAATCTGGGGAACAAGCCCTATCAGCTACGCAACCAGGAAAGAAGGGGAAAGGGCCTCTTCCTCCGAAGGGGAAGAAAGCCCTGCCCAGAGGCACCCTGAAGACAGTGCCACACGTCTTTAGCTGGAATGACCTGCTCACCTCCACCGGAGCTGGATGTCTCACATTTGCCCTGCAGACCTATATTCTTACTCCGTATTCTAAGTCTATATTCTCATTCTAACCCATATTCTAATCCGGTGTGGGCTGCTGACTCCCTGTAAGGCTTTAGTGGACCACCCATGGGAGGGGGGTGCTCCCGGCCAGGAGACTTGCATGGAGAGTCTTTTGGGATTGTTTTATTTAGGGGGAGGGATGTTTAGGGGCTATTCCTGACTCTTTGCTCTGGTTTTCACCCTAAACCCTTTACTGTCTTTTCCGCCCTAGTTCTAGCCATCAAACCCTCCTTTCAAGGTGGTAAGATAACTTTTGGGGGAAGCCCACACCCAGAGGTGCTAGGGATTACTCCTGGTGGGGCTCAGGGGACCATATAGGGTGCCAGGATCAAACCCCCATCAGCTTCATGCAAGGGCCCTTGCCCTACCTCTTTACTATCTCTCACCTCTTCCCCCTTTTTTAAAGCTCTGTCTTACCCCATTCCTGTCCTCTTCAAAGTACTATAATCAGGCCAGAGAAATAGTACAGTGGAGAAGGCACTTGCCTTACATGCAGCTGCTGGGCACCCTGGGCCCTGCCAGGAGCCAGGGTGGTTTCAGTCCCACCAGGAATGATTGCTGAGTGCAGAGCCAAGAGTAATCCCCGAGCTTCACTGGTTGTAATCCAAACCTCGCCCCAAATGTTCACTAGAATCTAGTTACCTGCATTATTTTTTAAAAATACTTGATGTGGGGGCCACAGTGATAGTACCACAGATAAATCCTTTGCCTTGCATGCAGCCAAACTGGTTTTGATCCTAGGATCCCATATGGTTCCTAAGCACCACCAGCAGCACACATGTGTTTGGTTTTAGCATACCAAAATTGATTGTATTCTCTTGTATACATTCTCCGTCCCTCTCGGAGAGCCCAGCAAGCTACCGAGAGTATCTTGCCCTCACGGCAGAGATTGGCAAGCTCCCTGTGGCATATTTGATATGCCAGAAACAGTAACTATAGCAGGTCTCATTCCCCTGACCCTGAAAGAGTCTCCAATATGGCACCATTGGGAAGGACGAGTAAGGTGAGGCTGCTAAAATTTCAGGGCTAGGACGAATGGAGACATTACTGGCACCCACTTGAGCAAATCACTCAGGAGTGATCCTGAGTGCAGAGCCAGGAATTACCTTTGAATACCACTGGGTGTGGATCAGAAACCAAAATGTAGCACTGTAGCACTGTCTTCCGGTTGTTCATCAATTTGCTCGAGCAGGCAACAGTAACATCTCCATTGTGAAACTTGTTGTCACTGTTTTTGGCATATCTAATAGCCACAGGGAGCTTGCCAGGCTCTGCCATGCGGGTGGGATATTCTCAGTAGCTTGCAGGGCCCTCCAAGAGGGATGGAGCAATCGAACCCGGGTCAGCAGCGTGCAAGGCAAACACCCTACCCGCTGTGTTATCACTCCAGCTCTTCCCCCCCCAAAAAAAACCAAAGTAAATAAATAAAAATGCCTGATGCTAAGTAAACTGCACTAACATCAAACCTTCTGCATTAGAGAAGTGGGGTGTTAAGAAAGGAGTCTCACAGTTAAGTGTGCTGGCAGCTGGAAAAGCAGCTTTTCCTTTAGTACGAACTAGAGATTATAGAGAAGAATTCAATGTGAGCCAGTGCAGAAATTTTATGTCCCAGGTCATCTCATCAGCTGCCACCTTTCATGCTTACTATGAAAGTGCTGTCATTTTTTAAGGCTTTTAAAAATCATTTATGCTTCCTCAGTTCTGTAGTGCAGCATCATTAAATACCCGGCATAATATCCCTAACAAACAGCACTGGGAACAAAATAGCAAGCACGCTTTGGTGACTCAGAGCTTATCAGAAATCTACTGAAATTTTCTGTCTGGATTTGTCAAGTTTTCTACTGTGGTACTGCAAAGCTTTCACTAAAACGCCCCAGGGGAAGTGGATTCAAGGGGGTCGAGGCATGTTGTTAGGTAGAAGCATAGGGAGAAAGAATAGTCTCTGAAAGAAAGAAGAATGTGGATTAGAGAAAAACCTTCCTAGGCAATTGTCTGTTCCTGCTCAGTCTCAGACAAACTGTGACCTTGAGCTTCAGGTCCCTTATCTGTCAAAGGGAAGCATTAACATATTTCTAACTCCTCCAATCTCACAGTGTTGATGTAATGATCAAATGAGATAATGGCTGAGAATGGACTTTGGAAAGACTATCAAAGTGAGGTGTTTTTAAATTGACACTTATTAAGTACTTAGTAAATATCTCTGGACAGACACAAAGATAAAGGTGACCCAGTCCTGAAAAATTTCATAATCTAGTTGAGAAGATATGAACTTGAGAAGCAAGTCATATAAACAAGAAAATGTAAAAAAAAAAAATAGTTTATACTAGAGAAACTTGAGACCTATCGAGTTTTCTCCAGGAATTAATAGAAAACACAGAGATAAGTGAAATAAGTCTTTTTGTTGTTGTTGTTGTTGTTTGGGTCACACCCAGTGATGCTCAGGGGTTACTCCTGGCTCTGCACTCAGGAATTACTCCTGATGGTGCTCAGGAGTCCATATGAGATGCTGGGAATCAAACCTGGATCGGCCGCATGCAAGGGAAACGACCTACCTCCAGAGCTATTGCTCCAGCCCCAAAATAAGTCTTATTTGTATGGACCCTAAAGGAGATAAAATTGGGGTCGGAGTGATAGTACAATGGATAGGGCGTTGCCTTGCACACAGACAACTGGGTTCAATCTGGCATCCCATATGGTCCCCCAAGCACTGCCTGGAGTAATTCCTGAGTGCAGAGCCAGGAGTAATAACCCTTGAGTATCGCTGGGTGTGACTCAAACTACCCCCTCCCTACCAAATAAAGAAGAAAAAAAATTGTGTTGTTTAAAAATTTGTTTTGTTTAAAAATTTGTATTGTTCCGCCCCAAGCACAACATCCGAAAACCTCCAGAACTAAGCCACAGCCATGCTCAAGACTACTCTCCACACGCTGGGATGAGCCTCACGCATGAAGGAAGCAGCAGAGGAACCCAGGTATGCAGGACCTGAGGCTGAGATCTCCAAACCTGCTTGGATCAGGACTGGGCCTCCTCCACCCAGATCCCATTTTCCAGTAGCTTGGCAGTCACACCCACAAACTGCCCCCAGCGCCATGTAATCTCATCAACAGCCAAGATCCAGAGACTATAAAACAAAGCTCCCAACCTCTTATAGTCTAGCCCACTGATGTACCTGAAGCAGCACACATGTGTTTGGTTTTAGCATACCAAAATTGATTGTATTCTCTTATATACATTCTCCGTCCCTCTCGGAGAGCCCAGCAAGCTACCGAGAGTATCTTGCCTGCACAGCAGAGCTTGGCAAGCTCCCTGTGGCATATTTGATATGCCAGAAACAGTAACAATAGCAGGTCTCATTCCCCTGACCCTGAAAGAGCCTCCAATATGGCACCATTGGGAAGGACGAGTAAGGTGAGGCTGCTAAAATCTCAGGGCTAGGACGAATGGAGACATTACTGGCACCCGCTTGAGCAAATCAATGAACAACAGGATGACAGTGATATAGTGAAAATGGAGTAAACAGGGCCAAGGAGAGTATGGTGGGTAAGCTGCTTGCTATGCATTTGACTTGAGTTCTGTACCCAGCACCCAATATGATCCCCCAAGCCCCACTAGCAGTGACCCCTGAGTCCAGGAGTAAGTCCTGCTGCTGGGTTTGACCCATAAAATAAAAACAAAAAGGAGTAAACAAGACTAAAGAGACAGTACAAGATTTAAGGTGGCATTTGCCTTGCACACAACTGACCCCAGTTCAATATGGTAATCCAGTTCTGCATATGGTACCCCAGAGATTGGACAGGAGTAACCCCTGAATACAGAGCCAGGAGTGGCTCTGAGTACTTGTTTGCCATCAACCCCCACCCCTGCCACACACACACACACACACACACACACACACACTGCAGCAAAGTGCTAGGAAAAAAAAAAGATTTTACAATCAGATACCATCTGGTGTCCTTGCAAGAGAGAATTACAAGAGAGGCCTTAGAAATCATTCTTTTTCTCTCTTCTCCTCTCCTTTTTTCTCACCTTTTCTATCCCTATTTTTTTCCGGCTTAAATATTTTAGGGGGTTGGGGGGTTGCCCAAGCAATAGCACAGTGGGTAGGGCATTTGCCTTGCCTTGCAAGTGGTCAACCTGGGTTTGATTCCTGGCATATTATATGATTCTCTGAGGACTGCCAGAGCAA